CAATAGTCAAGATTTTGTTGCAGTATCACTGTAATTTAAGGAAATGGAAATCTCGGCTGCCAGTGTAAAAGGACCCTGAAAAGCACTGGAAAATACCAGGCTCCAGTGGCAACCTGTGTGTGGATATACAAATGCACTGGTCAGAAAAATATTCTTCATCTCCTTGCTCAGGAAAGCAAAATTTGTCAGGGCTGAATCTCCCTCAAGATATCAGCATAGAAAATGAAAAAGGAACAGGAGTCTTTGAACATCATACTGACTAGGGACTGCATGTTAATTAGAATAAAATTACAAAATAATATCTACAACTCTCCAGAGATGCTGGTAGTGACAGAGAACCTGTGTCTGCTGCCTTCAGAACCTTGCAGTTACTTATTATTTCAATGGTATGGGAGCAAGAAGTCTAGATTAAAAATGTGTGAAAACATCAAGAAATGAATCTTTGGATTGGTGCTATTGATTGCTGTTTCAAATGGACAGATTTGTCACCTAAACCAAATTATTCATCTTGACTTTGCATATTACTTGTAAATATTGAATTCTACATGGATTTACCCTTCTTAGTTTATATATATTGTGCAGTTGATACAGTTTTGCTAGGTCCGTTTTGGAATTGAATTGCACTGCTTAACAAAATAATATGTTTAATGTATTTGTATATTCCTATGTATGTTTTATTGTCATTTTTGAATACCAGAGTTGTAAATTTTTAGAGGAGAATACTATAATTCTGTAAGCAGTAATTTCACCAGGTATTTCTATGTGTAAGTCGATTGTTTGGAATAATAATTTAAAAAGCTAAATAGTAGAGGGGGCTTCCTAAATAAATGTTATTTACTTTTTGTTGTTTGATTAAGCCTAATAGTAGATGAGACCTGGTATGTTGGGCACTTTATATGTATTTGCTACTAAAGCTGCTTTTATTTATTCCATCTGATTTTAAGTGTTGTAGAATCTGAGCTGGAACAGGTCTAAAAATAATTAAATATTTGACTATTCTGGGAAAGGACTGAAGGGAAGCTGGGAAGAGAGAAAGATGGAGATAGGGAGGGAACTAAGGTAGCAGGGAGGCCCCTTTCAGCAACCCTGAGTAAACTTACTCTCCAGATGCACACCCTCTGGGTGAGAGGAACTTATGTCTAATACATCTCTATCCCTGTGATGTTTCAGCTGTTTCTGAACTATATCCATGCCAAATCATGGTGTATCTTTAGATAATAAAACAATTCTTAGGTCATATTTCTTAAGAATATTACGAACATATGGGCCCAGTCACGACTAAACTGAGTACCATTGAGTTCAGTGAGCTTTGAGTGAGATACCTAGCTGTTGGATCAAAACCAGCAGTTCATACTTCTTGTTGCTGAAAGAATTTTAAATATGAAAATTGTTACTGAAAAGTAACCGATGCCTTGAAATATTCTTCGATTAGCATTCTGTTTTGTTACAGCCATTGTCAGTTACCAAAAGCATCTTGAACTGTTGTACAGATTATGTTTGTTTTCTCAGTTCTGTGGTTTGTCCCCTTAATAAACAAGCGAATTCCTGGGGAAAGTGGGAGACTGTTTTCTTGTTGGAGATACTTCTGAGAAGAATAAACCTGAGAGCTTTTCATTGTCACTTTATCCTGCCTACTTTGTTGGTACAGTTGAAGGGGCTGTAGGAAAGGGAAGGCGAGGGGGTTGCAGGTGCATTGGGAAGGTAGCTCGGAGCTCTCGGCAAACAGAGATGTTGCTGAGAGGAGCAGGGTGCACATCAGCCTCAAAGGACAGAGAGGATAGATGGAGCATGGTTTGCCTCTGCTCTGGAGGTTATCGGAAGCGAAGACCTGACTGAAAACCAATAATGCTGTAGGGGGAGAGTTGTATACAAATTTTTTTCCTTTTGGTCCATCTTACCTGGTGGAGTTTCTTCAGTTTAGAAAGCTGTGGTTCTCTTTGGTTGTGTTTGTTTTCCAAGTCAAATAGAATCTGTTTTTTGATGAAGACTGTGAATCACTATGGTTTTGCAGGAAGTCTCTCAAGATTTCAGACCAGACCACATGTAAGTTACTGCACAAGATGTAGGAGATGCTCAGTCATGCTTGTTAGTACTGGTATGGCTCATCAGAGGATGCTTAGCATTAATATCAGTATGGGTTCAGTTAATCAATTGTAATATACATGACAATTTTAAGGTACAGAACAAAATTGTGTACTTCAACCTTTTAACCTTTTGCCTCTAGTGGCATGAAAACCTTTTTGGTGTTGCTTAAAAATTGCAGGGTTTGTTCTGGACTTTATCACCAAAATGCTTTTCTTACATTTATTAAAACAGTATATAAACTAGGTATGTTGCGTATTCTCTAAGTAATTTAATACACCATTTGATCAAGCTCAAGTGCATAATAATGTCTAAATTTAAAAAGGGAGTAAAAACCCTCAAACTGTTCCTTTGTTTGGACATCATTTCCTTGTGTTCATCTGCTCTTAATTTGCCATAATTATTGATTCTCCATCTGAAATACAATTGGTAATAACAGTTAGACTGAAGATACTTCAGTCATACCAGGCAGTACTCTTGGAATTTGTGAAAAAGAACAGAGAACAAATCTTCGAAGTGTCTTGCTGCTACTATTTTGAAAGATATTGAGGTATTGAAGGATACACATAAGTCCTAAATGAGATTTTCAGTCTTCAGTGTTTCACTAGCTCCAATAGCGATTCAAAAGTTATTTAAGATTTAGGTTATCTCTAACACTGAACAATGTGCATTCTCCCATTTAATACAGCACACATTTTCTTTAAAAATTTTTAGTTAAACCAGTTTTAGTTTGGGTTTAAGTGTTCAGGCATATCCAGACTAGAGAAGTTTGTGTCTATGTAAGCATCAGGTACCTGACAGACTGTATCTGCATATTGCATTTTCATGTTTCATTTTTATGCTTTTATACTGTATAGTACATCTACATTTTTGTTGGCATGAGGGAAAGAAACAGTCACTATGATGAAGGCTTGTCAGGAGCTTTTTGAGTTAAGATACAGGGAATAAGATGATATGTGTTTCATGTCACTCTAATATTCATGTGATGTGTATTTTCTTCCTGTACAGTGCTGCTCACTGATTGTGTGGAGGTCTCTGTACTTGACAATTATCTTTTTCTGTGTGTGGCATCTGTAGGTATAGCAACAGCATTAGCAGTGGGTTCTGTATCTCAGAAGAGGTTTTCTCGTGTTCGTGGTAAGTCAGGGAAAGAATGCAAGAAAAAGTCCTCGTGTTGCCTGCATGTTGGTTGTGGAAGAGTATAAAATAGAATTTGAAAAAATAATTACTCAAAAGGGTTGAATAAGTTGTGTGTGTGAATAAGCATGGTTATCTAGTAAGGATAGGTAATTCTTCAAAGAATCATAAGGACCATTAAAAAATAGGATTGGCACTGAAGTCAGGGAGAGCTTTTGCTAGTTTAATGTATACTCCCGTTATGTTTATCTACTTTCTGTACATCAGATTGCTATACCTCACAGACAGCTCAATGCTTTGGGATGATCACCTGTTGTCTTTTACACAGAATTCCAGTGTTCTCTGGGTTACATTTGTTCTGGGAGCATGTGAGATGTGTGGGGTGCCAGCACCTTATGCAGGATCTACTCACTTTTTTTTGCCTGTGAACAGACTGAAAAATTAAGCCTGTTGCAATATCACTTGCAGATTTGAAAACAAAATGCCAGCTGGAGAATGCATTTGATTGTGACTTGTTGGTGACTTATACTATCAGGTCAAAAGAAATGACTATAGAATGAAATACACATGAAATACACATGGGAAGAAAATCTCTTTTAATACATTGACTATAGCAGCTTTATGTTGGTAGAAAAAAATTGCCTTATTGTATCATTTTCCAAAGTTGCCTGTGGTGAATGTAGGAAAGTGTACAAAAAAAAGAAGTGAACTGTCCCAGTGTGGGTTGCCTTCTCCATGCTGCTGTTTCTCCCTGGATGGCAGAGAGGAGAGGCTTTCTTCAGCTGGGGCTCCCTGCATGCAGCTCTGTACCCCATTGGCAGTGCATCTCTTCCGAGACTGACTGTCATTCCTGTGTTTGGCTACAGGCACTGGTTGTCCAGGTAGGGCTTCGCAAAGACTGAGCTGAACACCGTTTCATGACCCCAAACGAAGTCTAAATAGTGATATTGCTGTACTCTGATTTTACGGAGTGAAGATGACTACCTGAGACATAACTAGACATTTTATACTTCAAGAAGCTAATCGTGTAGGGAAAAACACAGTGCAAAAAGCTACTGCTTTGCTCTCTTTTGATTGTAAACCCCCCACCCCTTCTTGACTTTCCAGAGGATACGCCTTAGCTGTCTGTGGTTAAAACTTGGAAAACAAATTGAATCACAAAAAGGGAATGGGGACCTGAGCAACCACATTTAGTCAGGCTTTCTTCATCTGTGTAAGCCTTTGCCACCCACATTAATACTTAAAAATTCATAAATTGATCATTCATGCCTGAATTTCCTGTTTATCCTAAATTTGTGTCTCTTTATCCCTTGGATAAATAGAACAGTAAATCTCTCTTCAGAGTATATTGGTAAGCGCAGGCAGTGCTTAGAATTCCAAAATTTAATGAAAAACAAGTACTGATACTTTTATGTTGTGCTAAAAATAATATTTTTATGCTTCATAAAAAGTTATTATTAAACTTTGAAGACAAAACCCCATCATTTAACAGCACCAAAAAACAAGAGTTATAGAGATGGTATTACTTGTACTTTGGGGTTTCTTTTTTTAAATATTCAAGATCCTGTAAAAACAACAAATGGTGATGGATACATTTCTAGTCAGACGGTTGTTTCATCCATTTTTCACTGGTCCAGTGTTAGCAGAAATATTTTCTGATAGCTCCTGCTTAAACATATTTCCCAGATCTAATTGCTCATTATTTTGTGCAGAACAGTTCGATTAACACATCTGTCTAAATTATGCCTTCTTTTTTTTTTTTTTTTTTAAATATATATTAGGATGTTTTGAATAACTTGGGTTCCTGTGAGTTGGATGAAGATGATCTAATGCTTGACTTGGAGTTCCTAGAAGAACATCACCATCGTTCTGGTAAGTCAGATAAATATTGAATATTTTCAGCAAGATATTATGATTCTAGAAATATAATATAAATGTACTCAGTGCAATTGTTTGGAAATAAAAAAGTCATTTACTTGGAAGGGAAAAAGCATTATGCATTTTGTAGTGTTGTTTCTAAATGTGTTTGCCATTTAACATAAAAATACTTTTTATAGTGCATTTGGACTTTGTATGGTCAGTTATGAAATGGAAGTGATGTTTACAGCTACAGAAGAATTCCAGCACCAAGGGCAGACACATCTGATTTTCTAGATACTTAAAACAACTGCTGCCTACCCCAGGCAGTTACGAAAAAGACCACTGCTGATATAATTGTGATACTGTTTTGTGTGTGCTGGAATAATATGCTTCAAATAAAAAGGGTTTGACTTGAGACATGAGTGTAACTTAATCCTTTCTCTCATGGTTGGTAAGGCACTGTGGCACTGCCTTGATGAATAGCAGTAACAAGGTCAAATCATGGTGTGTTCAGAATGATTTTATAGTAGGATTATATAAGGTCTTGGTTAAGTCGTGGCACCTGCAGTGGGGAATCCTGCATTTCCTTTGGCTGTGATGTGGGACAGCGTAGGCCTAGTCCATGAACAGGAAGACAGTCCTGCTAACTCCACAGGGTTTGGAGAGACTTAAAATGTATGTGAGGTTTGTAGATAACAGATAGAGCTCTGAGTCTGTACTCTGTTGTGATGCTCTGATGTTTTGATGCTTATGGCAGTGACGTGCTTTTAAGCAGCAGTAATTTTCACCCTCTTTTCTACCTGCTGTTTTCTGACCCCTCTTTCTTCATCCACTGACATAGGTAAATGTAGTGTGCATTGATACACACTCATGTGGAAGTGGTGTTCATGAGACTTGTGCCCGCTGGTGTGCACCATCTTCAGTTCTGGTCTCCGCTTTGATGCACATTTAGCAATGGTTACGGAGAAACTGCTTGAATTATGCTCCTGTTTCAAATGTTCTGTTTATGATAATTCTGTGCATATATTTGAGTTATCTGAATTATATCTATGATAATTCTATTTAACCATTATATTGTACTTTTTAAATCTGTTTGCATATCCACTTACAGGATAAAACATCTGTTCCATTTTGTTTGGTAGTGAGCAAAGTAGAGAGTATGGAAGGTTGTAGCGGCAATATGTGCGTGATCCTAATGTCCTAAATTACTGGGAGCTAGAATGCAACAAATGAACTGCACAGAAAAGGCCCTTTCCAGCCAGTACTGAATAACTCTGGTTACAAAAAATCAACTCATGGATGAAGAAATGTGGGTCAAAAAGCTTCAAAAGCAAGCGTTGCATTTCATAAGAAATCATAGTGTTTTAGACTTGTTCATTCCCTGGACTTGTTGGAAACAAATTAACTGGCAGAATAATTTTCCATAAATAAACTTCCCTAACATGTTGCTCTTACCCTCACCTGTGTTTTCCTTCTTTTTTTATATTTATAAAAAACTGAGTTAACAGTGATGTGAAAGTTATGTCCAGTACATTATTATAAAGATTTAGAGCAGCTTCCGGAACAGATAAGTTCATAATATCTAAATGACATTATATTTGATAGAAAAGTAATTAAGATGGAGATGTGATATGACACATAATCTTTCTGCTCTTGGCTCATCATCCAGAGCAAATGAGATGCTTTTAAAACAGAAAGATCTCTTCTGGAAGTCAAAGTTATCAACAGTACTGTGACTATTTGTAGTGCAATAAAAATCCTCTTGATGTTCTAAATACTGATGCCGATTATTGCATTTATTTGGTTAAGACCATCAGTTCTAAAGCCATATTACAATTTGCTTGTGCTCCACTTTGTCTCTTTATAAGGAATTCTGTGGGGAATTATTACAGAGGGAAATGTTCCAAAACAAGTTCCGTTCAGTATTTTAACAAGTATATTGAAATATGAAGAGGTGTAATTGGAAAAAAAATTAGTTCTTTGGATGTTAGAAGGATAACTACTGAATCAGGCAAGTTCCTATTCTTCAAGACCTATGAAAATCTCTAAAATGATAAGTTACATGAGTACATCATGTCTTTGACTTGAATAACACAATATTCCTTGGTTAGGAGGCTGTGTGCAGCAAGCTGTATCATTGAAGCATAGAAATTCTGACTTGTAGTGCTACAGTTAATAAATACAGTTGATGGTTTGGTTAATGGCAAATTGAGAAAGTCTCTTAACTGCCATTAGGAGCTCTAGATTTTTAGAGACTAGACTTTTTAGAGACTTGTTAGTTAAGGCCCAATTTACAATAGCTTCTGCTTTTAACTGCTGTGGTTGAAGAGTATTTGCTAGGGTGAGGATATGTGGTTTTGGCTTTCTACAGAAGTTGACAATATAATAATAAATTAACAAAATAATTGTATTGATCTACCATAATTTTAATGACCACTTATGAATTGAAAATAAGATACTATTGGAAGGATTTCTGGGAGAAATGGCTATTAAGGAGTGAGTTTTAAAAAAGGAACTAGGAGCCAATTGGCAGGCAAGGAGACATTGTTCCAGAAAGTGTAATGCTATATTAATTAAAACATTAAAGCTAGAAAGGAGAAAGACACAACACTCTGTTATCTCTTTCATTGTTTGTGATTTTTTTTTTTTAAATTTATTACTTCAACTCTTTTTTTACTTGTGTTCTTACTCTGTCCTCTCAGCTTTTTCGTAATGAGCTGGTTGCCCTCCAGCAGCAACCTCATGAAACAGGGTTTCTGCAAAAAGGCACTATGAACCCTGATGAGTACTAGAAAAATAAAAAATATCCCCAACTTGTTCTCTAACCATGCAATTGAATATAACGAGATACCTGCAAACCTTATGCTTCTATTTTCAATGTAGATTTCTGTGCCCTGATAGTCTTAGCACAGCTACAGAAGACTGGAATTCCCTCATTCCTGACCTTCTGTCCATAAATGAGTTTACTGCATTAATTTACTACTGTTGCTTCCGTTTTAAAGGCTTTATTGCCAAGATAAAGAATGTAAGACAGAGATATTTTATTATCCCACCTAACACAATTGCTTTGAAATTTAATAAAATAATATTTATATAGTACTTGGTGAGAGGAGAGCACTACTGCATACAAATGCAAAATATTAATCAACTTGATTCGCTGAGATTTTTGCATACTGCTCTTAAGCTGGAATGTTTAAAACTAAGCATAATATGACGTACATGATGAGCCTTGAGGGTGCCTTTTTATTACTCCAAGTAAATTAGACTTTTAAAATATGCTACAGCGTTGATATCCTGTTGTAAAATAATGAAGTTAGTGGTTTCTGTAGCGGGAAGCCATTGCTGGTTTATAGAAAGTGACAGAATTAATTTAATCTAATTCAGTTTCTTTTTCCCTGGTGAAACATGACGTATATGATTCCAAGTATTGATTACTCAAATGTATAAGGAAGATCTTTATATTCAGCGATATAAGCAGTGTGGAATTTATTCAAGTAATGCACATTAATGTGGGTGAGTTGTGTGCTTGTGCTGTGCCATAGCCTATTGAAAAACCAAATACTTGGTTTTGTATGGTTAGTGTTGTCACTAAATCATGACTGCAGTAATAGTAGCCTTTTCTAAAAGTTCACAAAGGCATAGCTATCCAAGGTCTTTTGTAATTTCTTAACTATTTGCCATAGGTGTCATAAAACTGATACTCTGGTATCTTTCTAGACAGATGTATGTTTGTAGCTGGGATTTGTAGTGAGTCGCCCATCTGAAGTCGGGGAGACTGCTCATGGTACCGAATATTGAACACATGCGTATGTCATCTCCCCATCAGGCTCCACGCTACTTCACAAGTGCAATATTGATTAGCTGTGTACCCAGACTGGCCTGCCACATCCATCATGTTGTTGCTTGAATGCTTGCAGAATAGTTTTGAATAATGTAGCTCCCTATAATTTTTGGAAGACATTTGTCTTCAGCTGGAGCTTTAGCCATTTTTGATTTAATGCCTCAGCCTCATCTGTAAAGCAGTGATCCAACATATATATAAAGCTTAGTTATTTCACCCGGCATATTTCAGAATTGAAATTATTTGCCTTATTTTCTGGAAAAAAATGAATTTAAAGTGGAAACATGAAAGTGTATTTTAGCTTCCATCTAAATATTGTTCAACTCTTAAAAACCCAAACAGTTTCAGAGATAGGGCACGTTTTGCTCAAACCTAAGACAGTCTCTGCTAGAAGCTTTTTAAGTGTGTGCTTAATTCTATGAATGTGGTAGTACATGCTTTGGTACTTGCTCAAGGTTTATGAATAAAAACCAGTATATGTGACTTGACAAAATGACTTTTGACAACCTGGCAATGGCGCTTATGTGTCCTATATATGTTTTCTTCTATTTGTGGTTGTTGAGAAGGAAAGGCCTGTTCTTGGTATAGGTTTATGTTAATATAACTTAAAGGAATGAACATGTGAAGTTCTGATATAGTAGTATCACTCTTATGATGTAATACTTGCTTGTGTATACCTAATAAAAACAGAAATATGGTTATTAAAGAGATGCTCTTTACGTTTAAAATGTAATGCTGTGATATAGTGTCTACTTAGCACTGTCAGTAATGAGCAGGGAGAGGCACATCTTTGTGAAGTGGTTGGAAAGTGTGGGCTCTGACCATTGTTATGTGTTTGTATTATGTAGTTTTTATTTAGTGCACATTAGTGAGATCCAGAACAGTGCTTTGGGCTAGAGTACTATATCACAATACAAATATTTGCTTTTTCACTGAAAAAAAAAAATATTATTTGATGGATAATTCTATGGGTTTTGCAAACTTCCTAGGGCAAGGTAGAAATAGTGTTTTGTTTTTTGAGATGGATGCACAATTCAAACATAGTTATTTAAATGTCAAATTACAGTCATCATATCAGATTTTGATCTTCTAGCAATATAATTACATAAGCTATTAGCAGCCTCACCAACAAAAGTGCACCTTTTTTTTTTTTTTTCCTTTTTTTTTTTTT